ACCTCCTGTCAGGACCTCCTGTCTGGACCTCCTGTCAGGTCCTCCTGTCAGGACTTCCTGTCTGGACCTCCTTTCTGGACCCCCTGTCAGGACCTCCTGTCTGGACCTCCTGTCAGGTCCTCCTGTCAGGACTTCCTGTCTGGACCTCCTTTCTGGACCCCCTGTCAGGACCTCCTGTCTGGACCTCCTGTCAGGTCCTCCTGTCAGGACTTCCTGTCTGGACCTCCTTTCTGGACCTCCTGTCAGGACCTCCTGTCTGGACCTCCTGTCAGGTCCTCCTGTCAGGACTTCCTGTCTGGACCTCCTTTCTGGACCCCCTGTCAGGACCTCCTGTCTGGACCTCCTGTCAGGTCCTCCTGTCAGGACTTCCTGTCTGGACCTCCTTTCTGGACCCCCTGTCAGGACCTCCTGTCTGGACCTCCTGTCAGGTCCTCCTGTCAGGACTTCCTGTCTGGACCTCCTTTCTGGACCCCCTGTCAGGACCTCCTGTCTGGACCTCCTGTCAGGTCCTCCTGTCAGGACTTCCTGTCTGGACCTCCTTTCTGGACCCCCTGTCAGGACCTCCTGTCTGGACCTCCTGTCAGGTCCTCCTGTCAGGACTTCCTGTCTGGACCTCCTTTCTGGACCCCCTGTCAGGACCTCCTGTCTGGACCTCCTGTCTGGACTTCCTGTCAGGTCCTCCTGTCTGGACCTCCTGTCTGGGACTCAGAACCAACATGTCCCTGTCCCTCTGTCCACAGGAGACTCTGGAGTCCAAACGGGTCGCCGTCCAGGTCCTGAAGGACCACCTGTCCCAAGAAGCTCAGGTGAGTCTGTAAAACCCAGACGTTCTGTTCAACTTCCTGTCTGAGGCTCACCTGCTGACGGTGGCCATCTTGGATCTGCAGGACTACGACCAGCTGCTGCAAGACCTTCAGAACCACCCAGCAGATCCTGAACCAGAACCAGAACCAGAACTCTGATCAGGTCCACAGCACCTGAACCAACTGGATCTGGACCAGAACCTCTGAAGTTCTCCTGGGACAACCTTTGACGTTTAATAGTTTTGGACCTTTGGTTCTTTGTAAAAAAATAAAATCAGAAAATACTTTAAAATAAATAAAATCTGTTTTATTTTGTTTTTATTCTTTTAAAGATTGAATTTCTCAGAGAAAGTCCAGGGTCACGTGAAGGAGGAGGAAGACTGATCAGGATGAAGGTCTGAAACCCAAACCTTGTGGTTCTGACCCGGTTCTAGAGTCAGAGACATCTGATACAGAACAATTATTTTATTACAAGGCTTTTATTTTGTAAAGCTCCACTCATTTCCTCCTGTCACATGTAAATGAAGGGGGCGTGGCCACCTGTGTGAGACAGGTGAACCCTGAAAACTGAAGGTTTTAATTCTAACCCTCAGCATCTCAGTCACTTCCTGTTTCTTCTCCGGTTCTGATCCGAACCACGACCCGTGGCTCCTCAGATATGATCTGTCGTATCGTCTTTAAATCTTCTGACCAAAGGTCCACTGATGGAGGAGGAACCCTTCCAGAACCAGAACCAGCAGCTGCACTTTGGACCTGATGGGACCGGCTGTCAGAACCAGGAGGAACTCCAGGTCCACATCTGCAGCTCACCTTCAAACTGAGGAGAAAACATCAAGAAGCTCCTCCTCCTTTCCTTTGTGTCACAGAGGACCCATGGTCGGGTCGGTCCGGTGGTCGGGTCGGTCCAGTGGTCGGGTCGGTCCGGTGGTCGTGTCGGTTCGGTCAGCTGGTCCCGTGGCTGCTGGACTCAAACACGCCCTTTTTGAAGAACGGCGAGAACTCGCAGATGTCCAGCTTGGTCAGGTGGAAGTCTTCCTGGGTCCTGAGAGGAGAACCGGAGGAGTCCAGCATGACCCGGAACATGTTCCTGAGGTAGCACTGAGGAGAACAGAGGAGCCAAAACATTATGACCACTTGGTTCTGTTAACTCACGGGTTTCATCAATTAAAGCTCGTTAAGTTTTCAGAAAACAAGCCAGAGTCTGGAGCTGAAAAGGTTTGAACAAATCTCCAACTCCCAGCATGCATCAGTCCTGTCGACCAATCAGCTTGGAGCATAAAAACAAAAAGAAAACATTTTATTTCAAAAATGTAAACCTCCAGTCATCTGTGACACCTGAGCATCAACCAGCCAATCAGTGAGCTGCTCCAACACCTGGCTCAGATAAACAGGTAAAGACTTTACTACATGATGGACATAACTGCTCTTCTTTCTGCTTCCTTTCCTTTATTTTTAATTCTTTAGACCATTAGTTGTTTATTTTAATGACTGAATAAAAATCAGCTGTGATGCAGCAGAACATCTGAACCCTGCAGGTCCATGGTCCTGAGGACCAGGGATCAGTCTCAGGTGGTTCTGACGGCTCGTACCTCCAGCTGGTTCCGGCGCTCCGCCACCATTCGCTCGTCTTTGTTTCCAAACAGCTTCTTTGGTGGAAACTCCAGACCTGCCAGCTGGAAGGACAAGAACCAGAGAGGACATGAGACAAATCTGAAGACCAGGAGACATCTGGACCTCATGTAGGTCCTTTAATAAACAGAGGACAGGCTGTCCAATACTGTTTTAAAGTCTTACCTCTGGGTATTTGACCTTCAGACTCTTGTGCATGTCCCTGAAGCGGCTGTAGCGTCTGAACACCGTCCACGTCTCGTCCATCACAGTCAACTGAAGCAGAGACGTAGACTGGACATGAGTGTGGCAGCCATCTTGGATGGCTGTCGTAGTCCTCTGGCTACAATAGTCCACCGGCTACGATAGTCCGCTGGCTACGACAGTCCTCTGGCTACGACAGTCCTCTGGCTAGATAGTTCACTGGCTATGACAGTTCTCTGGCTATGATAGTCCTCTGGCTAGATACAGTAATCCTCTAGCTACAACAGTCTTCTGGCTACGATAGTCCTCTGGCTATGACAGTGCTCTGGCTACGACAGTGCTCTGGCTACGACAGTGCTCTGGCTACGACAGTCCTCTGGCTACCATAGATCTTGGGCTATGATAGTCCTCTGGCTATGACAGTGCTCTGGCTATGATAGTCCTCTGGCTACGATAGTCCTCTGGCTACGATAGTCCTCTGGCTACGATAGTCCTCTGGCTACGATAGTCCTCCGGCTACGATAGTCCTCTGGCTACGACAGTCTTCTGGCTACCACAGTCCTCTGGCTACAATAGTCCTCTGGCTATGATAGTCCTCTGGTTATGATAGTCCTCTGGCTATGATAGTCCTCTGGCTATGATAGTCCTCTGGCTATGATAGTCCTCTGGCTATGACAGTGCTCTGACTACGATAGTCCTCCGGCTATGACAGTTCTCTGGCTACGACAGTCTTCTGGCTACGACAGTCCTCTGGCTACTATAGTCCTCCGGCTACGATAGTCCTCTGGCTACAATAATCCTCTGGCTATGACAGTTCTCTGGCTACGACAGTCCTCTGGCTACGACAGTCCTCTGGCTACGATAGTCCTCTGGCTACGATAGTCCTCTGGCTACGATAGTCCTCTGGCTACGATAGTCCTCTGGCTACAACAGTTCTCTGGATACGACAGTCCTCTGGCTATGATAGTCCTCTGGCTACGACAGTCCTCTGGCTACGACAGTCCTCTGGCAACGATAGTCCTCTGGCTACGATAGTCCTCTGGCTACGATAGTCCTCTGGCTATGATAGTCCTCTGGCTAGATATTCCTCTGGCTAGATATTCCTCTGGCTACAACAGTTCTCTGGATACGACAGTCCTCTGGCTACGACAGTCTTCTGGCTACCACAGTCCTCTGGCTACGATAGTCCTCTGGCTATGATAGTCCTCTGGCTACGATTGTCCTCTGGCTACCATAGATCTCTGGCTATGATAGTTGTCTAGCTATGACAGTGCTCTGGCTATGATCGTCCTCTGGCTAGATAGTCCTCTGGCTATGACAGTTCTCTGGCTACGATAGTCCCCTGGCTATAACAGTTCTCTGGCTACGATAGTCCTCTGGCTATGACAATTCTCTGGCTACGATAGTCCCCTGGCTATAACAGTTCTCTGGCTACGACAGTCTTCTGGCTACGACAGTCCTCTGGCTAGATAGTCCTCTGGCTATAATGGTCCTCTGGCTATGATAGTCCTCTGGCTATGGTATTCCTCTGGCCTAATCATTCACTGAGATCTGATGGGGGGGATTCATTAATCATTGCTCCACTTGAGTCTTTCAGACACAAGTCTCTAAAAATGGTCAGAAATATTTTCTTTCAATTCATTTTTCAAGGCTTTATGAATTTTGTACACAAACAGTGCTGACTGAAACTCTGCTGCTGTTAGTCCAAGACCAGGAGGAGGGAGACGATCCAAGAGACAGGACAGAGACATGTAGGGACAACAGGTAGAGAGCTGACTGACAGGATGCTGAGAGATGTTACAAGCTGCAGCTGCCTAAAAAAAAAGAGTGAGGACAGGACAGAACGAGGACAGGGGACTCGCTGTGATGATCCCTGAAGAGGGAACAGCCTAAAGAAGAGTGATATTCAGTAAACTTTAGATTGATCTGAAGTTTAGATTTCTAGTTGTGTACGTGTTTATTTTTCATCCTGAGAGGTTTTTTATTTGTTTGTTGAAGTTTCTCCATTTAAACCAGAGACTGCTGAGCTGAACTCACATGCACATCCCTCCCTGCTCTCCCTCCTGAGTGTTGTCAGGACTTCAGTTTTTTGTGGAATAAACTGTAAGAGCTCACCTTCACCTCGAACTCAAAGTGCTCGTCCTTGCCCTGTCCTCGGAGGACGTAACGAGGAATGCTAATTTTAACGGGCTCCTGGACGCCGCCGTGGCTCGACCCGATGGGTCGGGTCACCAAGTGCTGCAGAGAGTGGTCCAGATGAAAACAGGGAGAGAGAGAGAGAGAAAGAGGTGGTCTCAGAACCAACAGTATTCTGGATTGAAAGACCTTAAAACTASAATAAAAACCATCAAACTTGGGCTGATTTTTAAACTTTATTAATGTGTTTCACATAAAATCAACATAAAATTTAACGTAAAACATWGAGTTTTATTTTGAAAACATTTTCCAGCATGTAAACAAAGTGACATCAGTAAACAAATCAATAAGAGAAAAATTAAAGACATTTATTACAGTTTTATTATTCTTTAGTGACGTTTTTAAAAAGGTTAAAATCTTTTAAAATGTTTACAGTGAATTTACATCCTACACATTAAAACAGCTCCAGGACAGGCTGCTGGGTTCAGACACACAGGTGCTGGATCAGGACCTGGGCCTCTGAGGAGCAGCTGAAACCCAGTTTCCAGGAGTCAGCRGGACCTTCAGCAGGACCCCGGCTCCTCTTCAGACCTGACGTAGTGAAGATGAGCTCTGTGCTCAGACACCGCTCCTCCTTCCTCACCAGCACACACCTGATGTCAGCACGCCGCCGCAGTCTGAGGCTGTGAAACTGAGGCTGGGCCGGGACCAGACTGGACCCGCGTGGCACCGGATGGAAGACCCCGTCCTCCTGGAGGAGAACCACATGAGTGTCCGTCAGGAGGAACTGAAAAATGGTGTCCTGGTGGTCCTGGGTGGAGGTCTTGACTTTGACGCTGGTGTAGAGCAGAGGACAAACGTTAGCCAGGGACGGCTTGTCTGGAYCGTCCATGTTCCCGTGGACCATGTAGAGCAGGTCTGCAAGGACCCGCTTGAACCTGTTAGTGATGTGAAGACCGTTGTCCACCACTACGTCAGGAACGTTGGACGTCCAATCCAGAGACAGGTCCATGAGGTCCTGTGAGAGTAAGGGGTGGGCCTCGGTCAGCTCAGAGACCTCCTGAGGACAGCGGGTCTTCAGGAGGACCTTACAGAACTCCTGGGTCAGAGCTTTGCTGTGAGTGAAGACAGCTAAAACTGAATCTTCTCTGCAGCCGAGGAGTCGGACGTGCTGCCCCGCCAAACTGACCTGGACCTCTTTGATCTCCACAAGGTCAAAGTGATGGAACAGAGTCAGGGTGTCACCAGGTTCTGGTCCAGCTGAGACCACCACCAGATCCTTCWCAGACAAAAGAAGACAGGCTGGTTTTGGATGGGGCTGCTTCCAGCTGGCTGCTTTCATCCAGAACACACTCAGAACCTTTCCAGCTGCTCTCTGAGGCAACAGAGAGTCCGTTTGTTCCAGAATCTGCTGACATGAAAGACTCTGCAGCTGAGACAGAGGTGGTGGCAGCTGGACCAGCCTCTGATGGAACTCTTCTGGACTTGTGGTCCTGACTGAAGACACGGACCCCTCAGGCCACTCTGAGAATCCTGAAACAACGGAAACACTAGAACCCTGAGGAGGAGCGACGGAGCTGTTCTCTGACAAATCCACCAAAGGCACTTTGTGCCATGTGCTGCTGAGAGGTTCTGGTCCTGCATGGATCAGATCTTTGAACACCATGGAGACGTACTGAGACACAACAAACTTCATCTCGTCCACTCCGACACTTTGAAGGATGGCTCGTTTGTCTTTGTACGCCTCAGAAAGCTTCCCGGCAAAATAATCCAGAAGTCCGGCCTCCTTCAGGTCCTGCTCGGTGGATTTACCAGAACTCTGGGACACTGGTGGGTCCATTGATTGACCTCTGGGATRTTCAGAGTCCTCTGGTCTCCATGGGTAGATCTTTTGGTTCCTGACCTTTTGGATGCATTCCCAAACGTAGCTCCTGCTGGTGGACTYGTTTTCTGCTGAGTCATTGTTTTTGTCTTTCAGGTCATCACTGATGCAGCTTTGAAGTTTGGCTGAAGGGTCCCTGGACAGTTCAAGATCCTGGACCCTCCATGGATTCAGACTCTGGTTCTTCACTTTCTCAAAATACTCCCAAACGTAGCTCCTGCTGGCTGAAACTCTTCCTGCTGCTTCATCTTTGTCTCGTCTCATCTGGTCTGTGATGGACTTGAAGTCCTGCTGTATCCTGGGGTCTACACCAGCAGAAATCTGAGACTTTGGGGACTGGWCCCTGGAACCTTCAAAGTTCACTGATCTCCACGGGTAGAGCGTATGGTTCTTGATGTTTCTGACATAGTCCCAAATAAATGTTCTGTCAGCTGAAACCTTCTCTGTCTTCTTCTCTTTTATATGACCTTTAACAGTCCCCGAGTCCTGATCAGARCCAAGATGAGAGACAGAACTTTGTGACCTGGAATGCTCAGATCGGACCTCTGGTCTCCACGGGTAGAGTGTTTGGTTCTTGACTTTTTCAACATACCCCCACACAGAGCTCCTGTTGGACATGGCTTCCTTGGCCTCAAGCTGGTCTTCAACCTGAGCTTCAGTCATCCTCAACTCTTTACTGCCATCTTTTCCACCCATCAGGGACTTCCTGGTCTGGTCTTCGAACGGTCCAGACTGGTCCTSAGATGGTCCAGACTCTTCTTCCTCCAGGGTTGTTTGGTTTTTCTTTAATGCAAACTTCTCATTTTCCATCATTTTTTTTTCTTCCAAGTCAGATTGAATCAACTCTTCATTATTGTTAAAGCTCTGCAATTTCAACATTCCAGAGGCTCCGCCCTCTTCACTGCAGACTCCACCATTGTTCACAGATGCCACGCCCTCTTCATTGGAGACTCCACCCTTGTTCACAGATGCCACGCCCTCTTCATTGGAGACTCCTCCCTTGTTCACAGATGCCATGCCCTCTTCATTGGAGACTATGCCCTTGTTTACAGATGCCACGCCCTCTTCATTGGAGACTCCACCCTTGTTCACAGATGCCATGCCCTCTTCTTTCTCCAGATTCTGTATTTTATTGAGGATCACCTCAAAGTTCTTGGTGCCTGACATATTGAGCTGGTTGCTTGTTTCCTCTGGACTCTCACAGATGAGGCCATCCCCCCTCGGGGACTTGGACAGCTCTGGGTCACATGTTTCATTGAAGAACTTCTTCAGCTGTGATTCGTCTTYGTCAGAAATCCAGCAGGAGTCACTTCTGCTTTTGTTCTTGTTAACTCTGTTCAAACCACAAACTTCATCTTGTTCCAGGAGAAGATKGACGTCTTTCCACCAWCTGGTTTTCTCCAGATCCTTCTGGATCATGAGTCCAGCTGAGGACTCCAGTGGTCTGAGGAGCCCTGGCTCCGGTTCTTCTAACACGTTCTCCTGGACATCAGGAAAGGACCGGGTCTCAGAGTCCAGGGAGGGCGGGAGGTTAAACCAGCAGGAAGTCTGCGAGCACAAGCAGGAAGTGGATGACTACCCCCACATGGAGGACAGGAAGGCTCTTTGAATCAGCCCCCCCACAGGATTACAGCCACCAGGTGCACAGGTGAGATTTCAGATCAACCATGTGACGAGTCCACATGCAGATTATTCAGAATGTCTCAGAGTCGAGGATAAAGAATTAAAACATGAGAGATTACAAGTTCAGAGGAAAGGTTAGTCTGAACTAAAGACTCAGATTGTTTGACTGAAATGAATCACAGTGCCTGAAATTCACTTTTGAAATGTGTGTGTGTGTGTGTGTGTGTGTGTGTGTGTGTGTGTCAGTGAGGACACAACAGAGAGCTGCAGGGAGGAAATCAGCTCTGTTTGTATCATGAGTTGCAGCTGGAGCAGCTCCTGTTGTCATTTTTCAGGTGTTTTGTTAAAACACAGACGGTTTGTTTCAGTTTCCTGTTATTTTTGGGATCTACAGGTAGAGTCTCAAAGACCCCCCCCCCCCGCGTGTCTTCTGAACAGACCAGGTGGTCAGGTTTATACGGTACAGGTTGTCTTGAGAAAACAGTGCGATGCAAACGTCCACATTTTTACACATCGCTGTGATGTTGGAACTTCTCACATTATAAACTCAATTTGCTGGAATCGATCATAACGTATCAATAATCAATAATCAATAATCCTAATCCTGCAGTGAATTTCAGGCCCTGATCAGATTCATAAAGTGAGTTAAAATCAGGTTCATTTAAAGATCACAGATCTCACCTGGTACTTCTGTCTTCTTGGATCCATGTTCTGCAGTTTTTCCTCTTCCTGAAAACAAAAGTTCAAACTTTAACTTTCAGTTTAAAACCTTTGAATTTAAACTAAAATAAGATTAAATCCAGACAATCATTCTGCAGTTTGAAAGGACAGTTGAGGAAAGGAGGTCCTCCTCCTCCTCTTCCGTTAAAGAGCTAAAGATCAGATCTACACTGCAGGGTCAGAACCTGAAGGTCCGAGAAGACCCGGGTCTACAGAGATGCTTCAGAACACAACTCAAAGAACTGAACTTCYTAACAAGGCCACAAAACATCTACAGTCCCTGAAAAACCAGGTCCTCCTCCTGCAGATCCAGGTTTCAGAACCAGTTCTTATGGGTCTGGACTTCATCAGGGTCCACAATGATCCAAGTCCAGACCCGGGTTGTTTTTTATTAAAGAGAACTAAAAGTCAAATCTGAGAGGAAAACAGGATCTGCTGCTTCCTCGGGACTTCTTTACCCTGAAGGTCAGACTGTGCAACAAGCTCCACCTCAGACTCTGCAGAGTCAGCAGACCAGGACCAGGACCAGGACCTGGACCTGGACCTGGACCTGGACCTCACAGGTCAAAGACTTTATGAATATTATTGACTCTTTTCGTCTCATGCAGTCAGTGAGAAGCAGCACTCATGAAAAAGGACACACACTGGATGTTGTTGTCGTCTGGACTAAATGAGGCCAGCTGTGTGCGACTGCTCTTCYTCTGAACAAAGGAAAACATGTAACACAACAAAATATGTTTAARTTTACACTCATATTTAAACTATTYGACCAAAGAGAAGCGGAGCAGGACTAGAGAGAGATGAATGTGATTTAGATTGTTGTTTCTGTGACTGTAACGACCCACAGGACACACAACATTAACACAACATTAACACAACATTTCATTCCTTGGTTTCAGCAGGTCTGACGCTGATGAAAATGACAGATTTTCTTTTCTGGATCTCTGAGAGCAGAACTTCAATCTGTGAACTCTGAAGTTCTTCTTTGTACTTTGTGATGTCCTTTATGAACAACACTTCCTGGTGAGTGGGGCAGGAAACACATCCTTATATGGTGTTTTTAGGGTGTAATTATGCTAATCTCCTCTCCTCGAGCAGCTGATCAGTTTACACTGCTCATTTATCCATGTTTCCTGAAGATAGAAGAGTTTGTTGATCTTTGATCGGACCATCTACCTGTCCTCTTCACTGTGGTGGTCTCTGGTAGGAAGGAACTGGACCATCAGTGTGTAACTGCCTGTGCTGTGTTTCTCCACCAGTTTTATTGAGTCTGTCTCCTCTGATCCACTGTTGGGCTCAGTGTCTASTGTGGATCAGTTCGCTGATCTCTTTAACTCTACTTGTTCTGATGTACTGGACTCTGTTGGTCCACTCAAGTCCAAACAAACAAAGTCTTCATCACAGCCGTGGCTGAAYGAGACCACCTGCTCTCTCAGACGTCAGTGCAGGTGTGCTGACAGGAAATGGAAAAAGGACAAACTGAAGGTTTCACTGGACATTTTCAGAGTCAGTTTATTCAAATATCAGAGAGCTGTTAGAGCTGCTACGTCTGCTTTTTTATCTAATGTGGTTTTAAACAACTGATACAGACTCTTCATCTTCATCATCCTCAGCTGCCTTCAAACAGTGAGTTGGTGACTTTAGTTGTTTTAAAGGATGTTGTGCATCATATGCAGCTTTCTGACTCTCCTTTAAACAGTGTTCCCTCTCATCTGTTTAAGGATGTTTTGATAATCTTGGTCCAGTTGTTGTTGTTGTGTTGTTGGGATGTTTTGATAATCTTGGTCCAGTTGTTGTTGTTGTGTTGTTGTTGTGATTAATTTGTCCCTTTCATCAGGCTGTGTTCCTGCTGCTTTTAAACATGCTGTRGTACAGGCTCTTTTAAAGAAAAACAGCCTCGACCCAGCAGCTTTATCAAACTACAGACCCATATCTAAGCTGCCTTTGTTGTCGAAGGTTTTACAGAAAGTTGTTTTTAATCAGCTGCAGGGATTTTTAACTGCTGAAATATTTCAGTCAGGTTTTAAAGCAGGTCACAGCACAGAGACGGCCCTTTTAACAGTTTTTAATGATCTTCTTTTAACAGCTGATTCAGGAAGCTCTGCTGTTTTACTGCTTTTATACCTCTCTGCTGCCTTTGGTACTGTGGACCAGAACATGTTGTCACGTCTTCAGCAGCTGGTTGGTATCAAAGGCACAGTTTTATCGTGGTTTAAATCATATTTAACTAATAGGAGGTTTTCTGTTCACCTTGGTGAATGTTTTTCTTCAGCAGCTCCTCTGACTTGTGGGGTCCCCCAAGGGTCCATTTTAGGCCCACTTCTTTTTAATCTTTATATGTTAATTTTGGGGTCCATTTTCAKAAAGYAKAACATCACTTTTCACTGCTTTGCTGATGATATCCTGGTCTATATGCCCGTTAAGYTGTTGCTCCACTGGAACCACTCYTCAGCTGTCTGAATGATATAAAAACCTGACTAAAACTAAACTTTCTGAATCTAAATGAGAGTAAAACTGAAGTAATCACTTGTGGTAAAGTTAATTCTCATGATTTATTTTCATACAGCCATTCTACTGTCAAGAATCTGGGTTTTCTCTTTGATGGTGTCTAAATTAGATAAACAGATTAATTCTGCTGTAAAATCAAGTTTTTTCCAATTAAGACTAATTATTAAGGTGAAATCATATCTCAACACTAAAGACATTTAAAAGAGTGATTCATGCTTTTATTACCACTTGCTTGGACTATTGTAAGTCTTTATATGCTGGCTTAGATAAATCATCTCTGCATGGCCTACAGACAGTCCAGAACGCAGCAGCTCGTCTTTTAACAGGTACTGTGAACACATGAACACATGACCCTGGTCCTGGCTTCTCTCCATTAGCTTCCTGTTCACCTGAGAATTGATTTTAACATTTTATTGAYGGTTTTTWAAGTTTTTAATGGTCCGGCCCMGTCATATTTAGGTGATCTTCTTAACATCTACACTCCAGTCAGASCACTCAGGTCTACCATCCAGTTCCTGTTASATGTTCATGATCCAAACTGAAGTCTAGAGGTGACYGGGTCTTTGYAATAAACATCCTGCCTCTTAATATTCAGCTGAGACTGTTGAGGCTTTTAAATCTTTACTGAAGACCCATTTCTTTTCTTTGGTCTTTGATTAAGACTGAGTTGCAGGTTCACTTAGAGATTTTATATATTATATTGTGTTTTCTGTGTTTGTATTTATGATTTGTTTGTTTTTGATACAAGTCTTGACTGAACTGTGAAGAACTTTGGTCAGCTTTGTTGTTTTTATGTGTTATATAAATACATTTGACATTAACATTGTAGTGGACCTAGCTGGACTGCAGTGGACCTAGCTGGACTGCAGTGGACCTAGCTGGACTGTAGTGGACCTAGGTGGACCGTGTTCTCCAGGACTGTACAGACAGCAGCAGGCAGGTCTGTGTGGACCTGGGTCTGGACCTGGGTCTTACTCTGAGGGACTCGCAGGACAGGGACAGGTTGATGTTGCTGTCGTTCAGCAGGTTCATCTTCCTCAGCCGGCGCTGGACCTCCTCCTCGATGTAGGCGTTGATCCTGTTGGACACAGACAGACCCGGTTGGGTCCAGGACTCGTACAGACCTGGTGGATCTGCAGGGCAGGTCTTACCGGTCCTCTGACAGCAGGGGGTTCAGACTCTGGATGTGGCTGACCGGGGGGCTGCTGGGACCAGTCTTCTCATCTGGACTGGCTGAGGTGGTCCGGTTGTCCTCGTCCTCCTTGCTGATCCTCTGTCTCAGCTTCTGGATCTCCTGCTGGACCCTGCAGGACAGAGAGACTCTACTTCCTGTCTGGACCTGGATTTTACACATGAAGCCATCTGATTCTGACCTCTGCTGGTCCARATGAGCTCCGGTTCTGGAGGTTCTGCCTGCTGGACTCTTGTGATCCTCGGAGTCCGGCTCCAGGGAGACGCTGCGCCTCAGAGCAGAGTGCCTCCTCTCCAGCCGGGCCACAGCCTGCTCCATGGCCTCCCGCTGCTGCCTCTCCTTGGACTCCAGGATCTCCTTCTCCTTCCTGCGGACCTTGTCCTCCTGCCGGGCCACGTTGGCCGTGAACTCGTAGGAGTCCTGGAGCTGCTGCAGCTGCTGGGCGCTGTGCCAGAGGAGGTGCAGCTTCTCCTCCTTGTCCTCCAGCTCCTTCTCCACCAGGAACAGCGTGTTGTCCAGCCCAGGAGGAGCCTGCAGCAGTGTTATTAGAGTTAAATGAAATAAATAAAAAACATTAAAAAACAATAACTAAAACTAACTGAAATTATAAAATATCCTTAGTTTTAGTGTTTGTCAGTTTATTATGAGCCGTGTGGACTGATTAAACTATTCCTTATTTATTTTATTTTATTTTATTCAGTAGTTTCACATCAGCTGTGGTCTGTAACACTTGTTTACAGTCTGCTGCTCAGCATCACCTGCTAAATGATGACAACAACAGTTGGGAGAAAACAACAACGTCCACTTTAAGATTTCTTTGAATCTGACTGAAAAATCAAATCAAGTGCTTTGTAGTGGAAACAGGTGATAAAACAGGTGATAAAACAGGTGGAATACTTGTGAAGAGAAAAACTG